CAGGTGATCCACTTGTGACAGGTGATCCACTTTGTGACAAGTGATCCACCTGTGACAAGTGTCACTTGTGACAGGTGATCCACCTGTGTCAGGTGATCCACCTGTGACAGGTGATCCAGCCGTCTCCATCCTGCCATTACCGGCACCGTAGGACGGCTGGGCCCCGTCTCCTGTCTCACCTGGACATAAAAAAGCGCCTGTCAGTCGCCAGCTGACAGAGCTCCGTTTCACCCGACTGTGGTGTACGCACTCGCCACCATTTATGCTGCGGGTATTGGAACACACACCTTGTTTGACTGTTTTGTTCGTTGTTTGTTTGGCCAATATTATCCTTCTCGTTACTGTCAGCTGTTTGTGGGGGGGGGTGTTGTGATGGAGGGGGTTATAGGGAGGGAGGGGGAGGGGGTGTGGGTGGGATGTTGTGATAGAGGGGTTATAGGGAGGGAGGGGGGGAGGGGGTGTGGGGTGATGTTTTGATGGAGGGGTTATAGGGAGGGAGGGGGGAGGGGGGTGTGGGGGTGATGTTGTGATGGAGGGGGTTATAGGGAGGGAGGGGGGAGGGGGTGTGGGGTGATGTTGTGATGGAGGGGGTTATAGGGAGGGAGGGGGGGAGGGGGTGTGGGGGTGATGTTGTGATGGAGGGGTTATAGGGAGGAGGGGGGAGGGGTGTGGGGGTGATGTTGTGATGGAGGGGGTTATAGAAGGGAGGGGGAGGGGGGTGGGGGTGATGTTGTGATAGAGGGGGTTATAGGGAGGGAGGGGGGGTGTGGGGTGAGGTGGTGATAGAGGGGGTTATAGAGAGGGAGGGGGAGGAAATAGGGGAGGAAGGATGGAGGAGAGAGGGGCAGAGAGAGAAATGGAGGGTTGGATTGATGAGTTAGAGTGTGGGAGAGGGAGGACAGAGGGATATGCGGAAAGAGGGAGACGGAATGAGACGGAGAGACAACATGAGGTCTACAGACGGTAGCCCCCATCACCATAGATGGCACCATCTCCCATAAACCCCCCATCCCCCAAACATGCCCCCCCACACCCCTCTAGACCCTCCCCACCTCTGAAACTAAACATTCAAGTCAAATTACCATAACCTCCTGCCCTCAGTAAATATAACCTCCCCTAAACAATGCCCACAACTTATCCAATACTAATTTTGTCAAGGTTGTGGGCGCGTGAAGCAGCGGTCAGCCCACACAACCCGGAACACCTTGTAATGCGCGGCTGTGAGGCTGGAAGGAGTTGGATCACCAGCCACAAGTGGATCACCGTCACAAGTGGATCACCACCACAGTTGATCACCTGTCACAAGTGGATCACCTGTCACAACTGGATCACCAGTCACACAGTGGATCACCATCACAAGTGCTCACCATCACAAGTGGATCACCAGTCACAAGTGGATCACCAGTCACAAGTGGATCACCAGTCACACTGGATCCCTGTCACAATGGATCACCTGCACAACTGGATCACCAGCCACATGATCACCAGTCACAAGTGGATCACCAGTCACAACTGGATCACCTGTCCAATGGATCACCTGTCACAACTGGATCACCCGCCACAAGTGGATCACCATTCACAAGTGTATCACCAGTCACAACTGGATCCCATTCACAAGTGGATCACCAGTCACAAGGGATCACCAGTCACAACTGGATCACCTGTCACAAGTGGATCACCTGTCACAACTGATCACCAGTCACAAGTGGATCACCATCCACAAGTGGATCACCAGCCACAGTTGGATCACCGTCACAAGTGGATCACCAGTCACAAGTGGATCACCAGTCCAAAGTGGATCACCAGTCACAAGTGGATCACCAGTCCACAAGTGGATCACCAGTCACCTGTCTTCTCCACCGTCGCGCAGGCGAGGCTGCCTCCCGTGCCTTTGGTAGTGTGGGTGGAGGGTATGGTGCTTTGGTAGTGTGGTGGAGGTATGGTGCTTTGGTAGTGGGGTGGAGGTATGGTGCTTTGGTAGTGTGTGTGGTGGTATGGTGCTTTGGAAGTGTGTGAGGTATGGTGCTTTGGTAGTGTGGTGGAGGGTATGGTGCTTGGTAGTGTGGTGGTGGGTATGGTGCTTTGGTAGTGTGGTGGAGGGTTGGTGCTTTGGTAGTGTGGTGGAGGGTATGGTGCTTTGGTAGTGTGGTGGAGGGTAATGGTCTTTGGTATTGTGGTGGTGGTATGGTGCTTTGGTAGTGTGGTGGAGGGTATGGTGCTTTGGTAGTGTGGTGGAGGGTATGGTGCTTTGGTAGTGTGGTGGAGGGTATGGTGCTTTGTTAGTGTGGTGGTGGTATGGTGCTGGTAGTGTGGTGGAGGGTATGGTGCTTTGGTAGTGTGGTGGAGGTATGGTGCTTTGGTAGTGTGGTGGAGGTATGGTGCTTTGGTAGTGTGGTGGAGGGTATGGTGCTTTGGTAGTGTGGTGGAGGGTATGGTTCTGTATGTGGGTGGTGGGTATGGTGCTTTGGTAGTGTGGTGGAGGGTAGGTGCTTTGTAGTGTGTGGAGGGTATGGTGCTTTGGTAGTGTGGTGGAGGGTTGGTGCTTTGGTATGTGGTGGTGGTATGAAGATAGTGGGGTAGTGAAGCACTGAGTATGAAGGGTCCATGAGGCACCATCTTTGGGTATGAGTGTTTGGTAAACAGCTCGCCCAGTGACCCCTCCGTGCCCTGACCCCTTGGCATGTTGACGTGCCCTGACCCTTGGGCATGTTGACGTGCCCTGACCCCTTGGGCATGTTGACGTGCCCTCAAGCGGCTACTGTTGCTGCTGTACGGTAATTACTTAGTGTGGGGGGGTAATTGTTTCAGTAATATGGCAGTGATAACTTCCAGCTCATGCGCTAAGGAAGAAATTAAAATATAATAACGGACACCACGTACAAAACTCAGGCAAATCATAACAGAACGAAAGGCAATTGTAAAGGCTCTGGGTGTACTCATGTCGAAGACCTTACCTTTAAAGAACACAATAAAGTAGCCGTCACAACTGCACGAAAAATGACAGGTTGGATAACAAGAACTTTTCACACTAGAGATGCTATACCGATGATGATACTTTTCAGACGCTTGCTCTCTCAGTGGAGTACTGCTGCACAATGACAGCCCCTTTCAAGCTGGAGAAATTGCTGTCCTGGAGAGCGTGCGTTCTGGCTACTAGGACCACATATATATATATATATATATATCTATATATATATATATATATATATTATATATATATATTATATATATATATATATATATATGATTGAAACAACAAGGGACCCTAGAGCTGCCAGCTTTCTTACCAGCGCCTCAGCGTGGCGATACAGAGGGAAATGCACACTGCCTCTAGGAGGGAAAACTGTCACCCCAGACAAAGAATCCGCCGCCCTCTACAGCCTGGAGACACAAGAACCTCTTGTCAATAACAGGATCTTGACCGCTCGCCCGCTTGGGCGCCTCATCAACACATCTCCTAACTATATCAACTATTTATACCTATGGTATAGGTATAGATAGCTGCTATCTATATCTATGATAGCTTGGCGGGCAGCTGAATGGACAGCGCTCGGGATTCGTTTGTCCTGAGGTTCCAGTTTCGATCCCCTGAGGAGGCGGAAACAAATGGCCAGAGTTTCTTTCACCCTGATGCACCCAGTTCACCCAGCAGTAAATAGGTACCTGGGAGTTAGACAGCTGCTACGGCTGCTTCCTGGGGGTGTGTAACAACAAGTAGGCCTGGTCGAGGACTGGGCCGCGGGGACGCTAAGCCCGAAATCATCTCAAGATAACTTCAAAAGAAGATATAGGTATTGATAGTCGCTATCTGTCTGCTTCAACGTACAAAATTGGATGTTTGTCCCAAAAAGTCTACATCTAGATCTATTAAATTTGTAGAGTGCGTGAAGAAAAGTCAAAATTACACTTACATATTTTAGGCCTAGTGTAGCATAAATATATAATATATTAGATCTATAATAGCGCATATTAGGCCTAGGATTACTAGGTTGGGTTCTTTGGCTACATTCCAACTTTTAGAATGTCATTTTGGCTAATTCAGTGATATAATGAATTTTTGGGGTCCAACAGTACATGTTTGTATGATTGACCAAATAGTTGATATAAGTCCTATCCTGCTAGGTGGACGGGCCGATATAAGTCCTATCCTGCTAGGTGGACGGGCCGATATAAGTCCTATCCTGCTAGGTGGACGGGCCGATATAAGTCCTATCCTGCTAGGTGGACGGGCCGATATAAGTCCTATCCTGCTAGGTGGACGGGCCGATATAAGTCCTATCCTGCTAGGTGGACGGGCCGATATAAGTCCTATCCTGCTAGGTGGACGGGCCGATAAAGTCCTATCCTGCTAGGAGGACGGGCCGATATAAGTCCTATCCTGCTAGGTGGACGGGCCGATATAAGTCCTATCCTGCTAGGTGGACGGGCGATATAAGTCCTATCCTGCTAGGTGGACGGGCCGATATAAGTCCTATCCTGCTAGGTGGACGGGCCGATATAAGTCCTATCTGCTAGGTGGACGGGCCGATATAAGTCCTATCCTGCTAGGAGGACGGGCCGATATAAGTCCTATCCTGCTAGGAGGACGGCCTGGACTTAGAGATTTTTGTAGAATTATTTCTCTCTCCTCCCACCGTAGAACCTCTTAATCCCTAGAAACTTTCTTTACCTGTAGAGTTCCTTCCTCCCCCCCCTCATCCTTCTCCTCCTCCCTCGTTTAGCCTCCTCTCGCCTCTTCCCTCCTTACCTCCCTCTCCCTTCCCCCTCCCTCACCCCCTCCCACCCCCCACCACCAGTGGTGTGTCTATCTTGCCCTGACTCAGCAGCTGTGTGCGGGCTTACTGCAACAACAAGGGCGTCAATCATAATCAATTACTGTGGGAGTACAAACACAAGGGCCTCTGTGGACGCTCTCTCTTGCCCACCACCCTGCCACACCGCCGGAGGACAAGAACACTCCCGGAGGACAAGACACCGCCGGAGGACAAGAACACCGCCGGATGACAAGAACACCGCCGGATGACAAGAACACGGCCGGGGACAAGAACACTCCCGGAGGACAAGAACACTCCCGGAGGACAAGAACACCGCCGGAGGACAAACAACCCGCCGAGGACAAGAACACCGCCGGAGGACAAGAACACGGCCGAGGACAAGAACACTCCCGGAGGACAAGAACACCGCCGGAGGACAAAACACCGCCGGATAACAAGAACACGGCCGGGGGACAAGAACACGCGCCGGAGGACAAGAACACCGCCGGAGGACAAGAACACCGCCGGATGACAAGAACACTCCCGGAGGACAAGAACACTCCCGGAGGACAAGAACACCGCGGAGGACAAGAACACCGCCGGAGGACAAGAACACTCCCGGAGGACAAGAACACTCCCGGAGGACAAGAACACTCCGGAGGACAAGAACACCGCCGGAGGACAAGAACACCGCCGGAGGACAAGAACACGGCCGGGGGACAAGAACACCGCCGAGGGACAAGAACACCGCCGGAGGACAAGAACACCGCCGGAGGACAAGAACACTCCCGGAGGACAAGAACACTCCCGGAGGACAAGAACACGGCCGGAGGACAAGAACACGCCGGAGGACAAGAACACTCCCGGAGGACAAGAACACTCCCGGAGGACAAGAACACCCGCCGAGGACAAGAACACCGCCGGAGGACAAGAACACCGCCGGAGGACAAGACACCGCCAGGGACAAGAACACGGCGGAGGACAGAACACACCGCCGGGACAAGAAACTCCCGGAGGACAAGAACACCGCCGGAGGACAAGAACACACCGCCGGGGGACGAGAACACTCCCGGAGGACAAGAACCTCCCGGAGGACAAGAACACCGCCGGGGGAAAGAACACCGCCGGAGGACAAGAACACCGCCGGAGGACAAGAACACCGCCGGAGGACAAGAAACACCGCCGGGGACAAGAACACCGCTGGAGGACAAGAACACCGCCGGAGGACAAGAACACTGCCGTGGGTCAAGAACACCGCCGAGGACAAGAACACCGCCGGAGGACAAGAACAACCGCCGTGGGTCAAGAACACCGCCGGGGGACAAGAACACCGCCGGAGGACAAGAACACCGCCGGGGGACAAGACACCGCCGGAGGACAAGAACACCGCCGGGGGACAAGACAACCGCCGGGGGACAAAACACCGCCGGAGGACAAAAACACCACCGGAGGACAAGACCACTCCCGGAGGACAAGACCACTCCCGGAGGACAAGAACAAGGCCGGAAGACAAGAACACCGCCGGAGGACAAGACCACTCCCGGAGGACAAGACCACTCCCGAGGACAGACCACTCCAGGAGGACAAGAACAAGGGCCGGAGGACAAGCAGAACACGGCTAGATAACAAGAGGAACATCTGTGATCACAGACACAAGCCATGTTAAAGTATGGTTGAGAGTCAGATGTCAGCGATCTTTATAATTCCCGGTGACTTGGGTCACCAAGGTTATCAAGGGCCTCCCCCATGTCGACGCCTCACCTTCCCCACCACCAAACTATGCCTCATACCTATTTTCCAGCTAGGTAAACAGAGGCATCAGGTGAAAGGATACGTGCCCAACCTGGTATTCTGGGTTTGCGAGTCGAGGATGTAGACCACTGTACACTGTATCATACTCGCAACCTCACAAAAGTGGTCCTCTCTTGACTTTGGTTTTATGAATAGTCAAGGATATATATATATATATATATATATATATATATATATATATATATATATATATATATCTATATATATATATATATATATAATATATAATATACTATATATATATATTGTGTGTGGGTGTGTGTATATCACGAAAATAAACACGTGATTAAGAATGTGACAATGTCAGACCACGGAGGAAAATGAAACAGGAATTTCCTTAAGTACTTTCGTATATTAAATACATCTTCAGAAGGAATGAAGGAATCTTCCTTCTGAAGATATATATAATAATATATATATCTATATAGTATATTATATATAGATTATATATATAATATAATATATATATATATATATGTATTATATATACATATATTTATATCTTATATATATATATGATATTATATATAAGAATATATATATATATATATATATATATATATAGATAGATATATATATATAGATATATTATATATTTGTCGATATATAATATTATCGATTATGGGGCGAGCTTATTTATGATATTCATACCGATGCTGGCGCTTGGGAGTTTAATTCTAGGGCTCTAGGCCGAGTAACTTCAGAGGAACAGTAAAAGGCGGACTCGAGGTTAACTGGCAGGTAAACTAAAAAAAAAAAAACTAAAAAAAAAAAAAACACTAATTATAAACTTGCACAACGTTTCGAACCTACATGGTTCATTCTCAAGTGATGAGCTATACGTTTTGTTGTTTTTGTTTTAGATTCAGCACCTGGAACAACATTTCCATGTAGACGGGCTATGGTGAGCCGTAATGGGACTATGTTTGAAGAGGTTATCCCAGAGTACCTCCTTCCTGAGGACAGGAGCTATTCTGAAGACGCTCCGTCACCTCCAGCGCTCACACGTTACGGTGACCTATATTGATCACAAAAACAATTTTTATGGGGAATTATAGCCATTTTCTATATACTTTAGAAGCACAGGTAATTGGGTAAATTAAAAATTCATACAAAGAAAAACTGTTTCACAGAATTTGTGATTTTTTAGATGAAAACCAGCAACACATTTGTGTTAATGAGATCATTGGGACTATAGCGTCTTTACTCCCAAGATCCCGTTCTAAGTCACGGGGTCGGTGATTAAGGGAGGCACGAGAGGGCTGTGGAGGGGAGGGAGGGCTGTGGAGGGGAGGGGGGCTGTGGAGGGGAGAGGGCTTTGGAGGGGAGGGAGGGCTGTGGAGGGGAGGGAGGGAGGGAGTTAGCAGGGCCGTGGAGGGGAGGAAGGGCCGTGGAGGGGAGGGAGGGCCGTGGAGGCGAGGGAGGGCTTGATTGACGGTTGAGAGGCGGGACCAAAGAGCCAGAGCTCAACCCCCGCAAGCACAATTAGGTGAGTACACACACACACACACACAGCAGGATCAGATGCAACAGAGCTAGGAATTAATATAACATAAGAGTATCGGAAAGCTCCCATTGTTAGAAGAGATTACCCTAGATGAAAGACTATCAGATATAGAGGTGACAGCAGAGGAGGTAATGAAACAGTTGACAACACTGGATGCAACTAAAGCAGTTGGACCAGACAAAGTATCACCGTGGATACTAAAAGAGGCAGCGCAGGCCCTCAGCGTGCCTCTGGCAAGGATCTTTAATGAGTCACTTATGTCGGGAGAATTGCCCAGTTGCTGGAAGAAGGCAAATGTGGTACCAATTTTCAAGAAAGGGGATAGGGAGGAGGCACTTAACTACAGACCTGTATCACTGACAAGCATCCCCTGCAAAATACTTGAAAGAATAATTAGGCTAAGACTTGTTGCACACCTGGAGAACATTAGGTTTGTAAACAAACATCAACATGGGTTCTGGAAAGGGAAATCATGCCTAACAAACCTTTTGGAATTCTATGATAAAATAACGAGGATAAGGCAGGACAGAGAAGGATGGGCAGACTGCATATTTCTGGACTGCCAAAAAGCCTTTGATACAGTACCGCACATGAGACTGCTATTCAAACTTGAGAGGCAGGCGGGAGTAAGCGGAAAGGCCCTAGCATGGGTAAGGAACTACCTAACAGGAAGGAGCCAGAGAGTAACGGTAAGGGGCGAGAAGTCGGACTGGCGAACAGTAACGAGTGGAGTACCTCAAGGATCGGTGCTGGGACCAATTCTATTTCTAATATACGTTAATGACATGTTTACAGGAGTAGAGTCCTACATGTCGATGTTCGCGGATGACGCAAAATTAATGAGAAGAGTTGTGACAGATGAGGATTGTAGGATCCTCCAAGAGGACTTGAACAGGTTGCAGAGATGGTCAGAGAAATGGCTACTGGAGTTCAACACGAGCAAATGTAAAGTTATGGAAATGGGATTAGGTGATAGGAGACCAAAGGGACAGTACACAATGAAGGGGAACTGCCTACCTGTGACGACGCGAGAAAGAGACCTGGGAGTGGACGTAACACCTAATCTAACTCCTGAGGCACATATAAATAGGATAACGACAGCAGCGTACTCTACACTGGC